TCTTGGTAGTTATCTTCTTCTCCTTCGTTCATGATAATCTCTCTCTATATATATGTGATGCTATTCAAATAGGGAGACTAGCGAAGACGTTGGAGATGACAAAGGAAAACTAGGAGAAGACGAGCAAGAAAATGGGTTTATTTTATAAAAAGTAAAATCAGTAAGTTAATTATAAACCCTAATTTCTAACCCCAGCCTCAATCTCACCTCAAGGCCTGCCTCAGTGGCTCGAGGCGTATGGCTCAACTAACCCATGAGAAGCGCCGCCTCAGATTCGATTTTCCAGCGCCTCGTCTCAAGGGGCGCCTCAAAAGCTTTTTAAAAACATGGGTCATAAGAATTCAGTTAATCAATCTCATAATATTAGTTCCTTTGGAATGAGTCCAATAAATCTAGCAGATGAACAACAACTCTTGTGGGGGAAGTGTTAACCATAAAATTATCAGAAAAGCAGCATATGAAACAAGTTTTTGGCACAAATCCGTGCTAATAATTTTTCCAAATGATACAATAGCAACACGTAATAAATTGCTTAAGCAGGTTAAGTTACTAACTAATCAGTAACTCTAAAGGCCAGTCAAATCATACCGCTTATTTTCAGGACAGTGCGACTGTACTTACAACAACTACATCCAAGTTAGAACTTAGAAATCGAATAAAACCTGGATTCTTTTCTCAGCATTCCACTCCGTCTCACCATGACGTACAACTACAACCTCAGTAAAAGTCCGGTCAACAGAATTAAGGTCAGCATCACCACTGCAAAAGAAAGAAAAATACGAAGTTGAAAAGTTTCAGAAACTACATCGGCCTTGGTGATCAGTCCACGGATTTGACTGCATTTTTGCAACGTCACAACGCCCTAGAAATTATCGAAATGCAGCTGTTTTAATCCACACATCAATACATACATGACGATATATTCATAAATATATCGATCATATATATGCGCACAACACTCGTTTAATTGAAATACTAACCTGGAATGAGTATCTGCCATCAAGAAGAAGACAGCCGTTGGAGGAGGAATTGGTCGGAGCGCGACGGAGAAGCTTCTGAATTGTGTTCTTCGCCGCCACCGGAGCTCTTTATTGGCTCCGTGGAGGTTTAAAAGCTTCAAAGGATTGTGTCGAGGTGGCAGGGAGACGGAAGTTGATTCTAAATTAAGCCTGGTGCGCAGTGTACTCATCCCCCTTCCATCTCAATTAGGTCTGTTTGAACACTTACATCCCCCCTCGGCAAAATTACAACTGACCCCTTTGTCTTTGTTTTAATTACCATTTCAACCCTTTTGTTACTTCAATCTCATTGCCACCCGTTTAAGCCAAACCAATCCACCAAAAGCATCTCCGATAGTTTGGGTAAGATATAAGATTAAAAATTAAAAGCTTTTAAATAAATTACATTCAACTCTAATAAATATTATATTTTAAAAATTCTTTATATTTGAAGTGTTTTCAATGTTTTGTTATTTGAGAGAATAAGGGGGTGTTTGGTTTGAACTTGGCTTTAAAGTCAAAAGTGTCAGGAGGTCCCAGGTTCAAATCCAGGGAGGAACAAAAATCCCCTTGTGGCCACGGAGGTTAAAATACGATGACTTTGAGCTACCTGCAAAGCAGGTGGTTGCCCTGGGATTAGTCGGCTCGCAAAGTGGATTGGATTTCCAGGTTAATCAAGAAAAAAAAGGGTGTCTGAGATTGTTTATCTGAAACAACTTATGTTTTTCCTAAAAAACACTTATCAACTTATTATAAGTCATAAGGGTTTAACTACTTCAAAAACTTCTATTATTGATTTGACACCGGTATAAGTTGTTTATCCACACTCAAAAGTGTTTATTACCGGTGTCACATCGGAATAAGTTAATAAGTTGTTTTTTATAAGCAATCCCAAACACCCCCTAAGATAGAGGATTTTGGTGGAGCATATAGAAAACAAAATCTTCATTTTCTCTATTTTAGAGAATCCGTTGGAGATGTTCTAAATTCACAATCAGGAGGTCTCAACAATCTCATTTGGGTTTTGACATTAGATAGGATTTGGATATTAGTTTCATTCAATCTTATGGTTGGTTTGTTGTATGAATTTGAAATCCTGAATTTCACTGAAATCCTATAAACATGAGATTTAGAAATCTCATAGGTAGTTGCTATTTTATGGGATTTCGTAAGATTTGTTTGCAATAATATTTTAAATTATGTTAAAAACACTTGTTTTATAATAATAAAATAATTAATTGTTTTTTTTATTTTTTATAATTTGTTTTTATAAATTATTAATAAAGAACAAAATTCAATTCAATTTCAAATCTTACAAACCAACCAAACCAAAATTCCAAATCCTTCCACAAAATCCAAATTTTTCAAAAATATCATGTGGGTTTAGTAGAGTGGTTATTTTTTTTTATTAACCTGGATATCTAACCCGCCATGCGACCCGACTAATCCCAGAACGACCACCTGTTTTACAGAAAGCCTAGAGTCACCGCATTTGAACCTTCGTGGCCACAAGGGGATTTTTATTTCTCTTTGGATTTGAACCTGAGACCTCCTGGTATTTTTGACCTTTGGAGTCAAGCTCAAACCAATCAGACACCACCCTTATGGTTGGTAGAGTGGTTATTTAGGTATCCTAGCGGTGCACGTGAATTGGGTCAGGCAGATCGAGGCCATTTGAAGAACCAAGACTAACTATTTCCGTTTGAAAAATCGCAACCCATTCAATCCTCTTTAAATTTATACCCAACCCATTACATTTTGGTTTGGGTTGGTGTGGTTGGAGTTATGTGGTTTAAACATATGTTTAAAAAGACGATTACATTACAATATTAAACCTAAAAGTTATATATTAGTGTAGAATACTTAACGACTCAAAAATATTACAGCCATTCAAGCTTATGTCTAATGGTCTATATACGATAAACAAAATACATATTACGATAAGAACGTTGAATTAAAATGAAACCGTTGATTAATATGGGTTTTTGTTTTTGACTTTTTAAAATAGCGTTTATTCAGTTGACTATATTATACGACTTTATACATAATACATATTTATGTAAAAAATTGATTACCGACAACCCCAACCGACTCCACATAATACATGTTGTGCTGAGCATAATACATTAATCGGATACAAACTCGTTAAAAGCGATAAGTATTCGTGTAAAACCATCAATATCAACTGCTACTTTAAGCCCGAAAGAATCTTAGCACATTTCAAAACTACGCTACTTCGCTACCAAACGGTAAACGAACGAATTACCTTTGCCGACGCCTTCGCTCCGCGGAAAGCAAGTTGGCGAACCGAGTTAAAGCTTCAGAATTCGTACCTTCTCCTTCGACTTCTTGAAACATACCCGTCTCTAAATCCACTCTCGACACCTTCTCGTTTAGTAGCGTCGTTCCTATGTCCTCAAGCGCTTTCATATTCTCATCTGTCGCAATGTCCACTGACGACGTGTCTTCTAGTAAATTGTCTTCCTGCCGATAACACAATGATTAGTCGGAACCAGTATCGGTGGCATGTTTAGCGATTATCATGTCGTAACAACTAAAGGTGCGTATGGAGCGGTACCGTAGATCCCAGTTACTCGACCGTAAATAGGCAGGTAAAGGAATCAAAACAGGCTGAGGTTTTCATGAAAACAGTCGCTCTACCCTGTTGAGTAGCTATCAAGTCTCTATATATCTAACCCCCAAACCCTACTTTCGAATTAGTTTGGTTTTAAGTAACTTAATCGACTATGGATGCATCTTATCGAATCAAACCTGAATGCGTAGGTAATTCTTTTCGGCATGGAGGGTTCGGAAGAAAGTAGAGACATGAATATCGACCATATCGGAGCTTGCATCGCTGTAGATATCGATTATCGGAGACGAACCATTGTCGAAGACCCAATTAAGCAAACCCCATCTTGAAGCTGTCCTGGCATTGTATTTCTCCTCTCGCTTGGGAATGCCGGTGCCGAGCGAAAGCACGAGCATCCTTCTGCCGTCCATGGACTCCATATCGGAGAACTTGTGTTTTCCGATCAAGATTTCTTTAAGTATATGCGTGATCGCCACCTGCGTCTGTCGTTGCCATTTGCACAAGTATTTATTCATTCTTCATTTACTTTAGCTTTGATTCAACAGGTAATTTTGACTTCCAGAAAAAATTTCAATACGACTAGAGTCGCTACTCTAAATTACCTTATGGGTAACATTACCGGCCATCATTAATGGATTGATGGTAAGCGTTTATAACCCGATAAGCGCTAACCAGCAAGAGTCATCAGCCTCACTTACGACGTAAGACTCTCGATCCTTGTCTTCCCTTTTACCGGGTAAGATTTTTGATCCTTGTTATACTTGAGCACGTAAACGCTTACCATGGTAAGTGCTTAGTAAACGGCACCTTACTCAATAAGGAGTTACTGAGTTATTTATCTTACCGGATAAACATGACAATGACCAAGAATCTTACCCGGTAAGAGAGATGACAAGGATTGAGAGTCCTATCCCGTAAGTGAGAGTGAGAACTCTTAATTAGCCGGTTAGAGCTTACCTAGGGAATTGTAGCATACGATGCCTTTTGGATGACTAGAAGTATAGAATCTTACCCGTTAAGGTAAGTGAGAGTATTAACTTTTACCGATAAGCAATTATAAACGCCCCCCTAAGGCCAGTTAGAAGCAAACACCGCCACAAAAAAAGGCGAGGTAAGAAATTGAATAGTTGCAGTTACCGGATTGTTTGCTGCAACTCCGCCATCAATTAGATCAAATCCATGTGTGGTTCCATCGGCGTCGCTGGTCTCAAAATAGTGAGGTGGGAAAAACGTTGGAGCTGCCGAGGTGCTTATGCATACGTCCGATAGAAGAGCGTCTTTCCAGACAAACTCTTTCGCCTAAACAAATCAAGGAAACAATGACACTAAGATTTCAACATACCATGGTCCATTTACAATAAGTTCGTCAATTTCTCATGACCAACAAATGTAGATAGACCTTCAGATATTGAGTTTTAAGGGAGCGTTCGGTACGCACATCTGCTGATTGGACGGGATAGGACTCGACAGATGACATTGAGAACGAGGTAGGCAGGCGAGAGAGAATTGTGTTTTTAATTTCACATGGACAGTTTAGTAATTTATCAATTTTGTCATGTCTCGCTAAAAATGCATTTTTTTTCTCACTCATTCCCGGTCTAAATGTCACATGAAAAATAGGACGAGGTTTTATTATGTCCAGTCCAGCGTACAACAAGAGATGGATCAGATATTACATCGTCAGTGGTGAAGATAATCGGCTGAAGGCGTTTGATGTCGAAGGTTGGTATGATCACATCGGTTAAGGTCTGTTTGAGAGTTCGGTTTTGCAGTATTTGCCTCGTTACTGATCGGAGATATTTACCGTCGTATTTTGGTCCGACGACCGCCCCAAAGAAGCTTGCAACTTTATTCAAGAACTTGATGCGGCTGATTTCACAATCAAAGCAAGTTTATCAATTTTCTGTTGAAGGAATACATCTAATAACATTACAACAAAAATGGGTAAATTATTCTAATCCATGAGAACAAGAAAAGACAATCAGAAGTGGTTTTAAAGTCTAAAATCTGGATCAGTAAGATTGTTTGTCTTTACGTCTGAAGTCTGAATCGGTCAAACTAGTGCAAATATATAAAAGATAAATAGTTTTTTTACAAAAGTATATGAGATAAATAGTTTTTGCTAACAAATCTCTTCCAGCCCCCAAAATATGAACCATTTGATAGAGGCTGATTAGGATTAAGAGGTATTAAGAGATATATTTACCACTTAAAATTTCAGAGGATATTTAGAGCTTTTAAGTTCTTATTTTATAAATAAAAACAAACGATCTTAATTCCCAAACGTCTGAATGAATCAAACTTCAGGAATATTAAAAAGTAATTTTGAAAAAACAAACAGACTCTACGTCTTTTGGTATCAAATTGAGTCTTTAAAGAACAACTGAACAAACAAATATATCAGGCTACAAGCCTACAATCACACAAGTCTCAAAGAAAATACTTTAAGGGTGGTGTCTGATTGGTTTGAGCTTGAACTCTAAGTGTCTGGAGGTCCCAGGTTCAAATACAATAAGGAATAAAAATCTCCTTATAGCCACAGAGGTTCAAATGCAGTGACTTCAAGCTACCCGCAAAGCAGATGGTCGCCCTGAGATTAATCGGCTTGCAGAGGAGTTGAATATTCAGATTAACCAAAATAAAATTGTTGTAAAAATCATTCGAATATTTGTCAATTGCCATATAAATTTTATGCTTCAGTTGTTATCTATGAAAAAACATTAAGTAAATAAAAATTCTATAAAGTAAATTTTTGTTATTAATATACAATTCGTCCTCAAGAATAATTCCAAAAGCTGTCGTATGGACTGCTCCAGTCCAATAATTCTAAGCAATGCGACAATTGAATTTCACGTGCATGCATACAACATTGCAACATTTCATCTTTCATAATCAATCTTGTCTTTTATCACGGATTTTTCTATATACACACTTATTTATGTTAAAATCGGATTAAATTATGTATTACAGACGTAGAAAATAAATCATGGTGTTAATATACATAAAGAAAGAAATTAGTATATATAAGAAATAGTAAACATACATTTATGGGTCGTTTATTAAACATTTACCCAGTAAGTACTTACTGAATAATTTTTCTCACCGAATGAACATGACAAGAGGCAAGAGTCTTATTCGGTAAGAGCGATAATAAGGATGAAAAGTTTTATCCGGTAAGTGAGGGTAACGACTCTTACCCAGGTAAATTGTTGCATAAATATGTTTTGATACAATTTTACCCGGTAAAATAAATTATAGTATTGACTCATAACGGTAAGCGCTTACCGGATAAGCATTTAGGTAAACGACCTTTTAGCCTACCTTAATTTGTGTGTAGAACTACAGTGACCAATGTAGTAGTGGCGTTTTGATAAGAGTCATGAAATCAATTACCGGAATGTTCTAATATTAAGTCATCTTATTCAGTTTTAGTATTGAAGTAATTTAGAGGTTGTTTATTAATTATTGATCTTTCTTTTACAGGATAAGAGACCGGTTAACCACACATCATGACTGACAAATGATGCTCATGGAATACTAACTCGATATAGAAAGAAAGACTCAGTCAACTTAATTAGACTGGAGTTGTTTATTTATCTTTTAATAGTTTCATTAAGAGGTGAATCTTGTTTGACAAAAAAAAAAATTTGTCTCTTAATGGTTCTAAAACCCTCTGAACGATTTTGTATCATGGGCATCCCTTAACCATTCAGCGCCATAATTTCATTGTAAACAATTACCAAACAATTATAATTCATTTTGCACTATATCATGAAAGCTTCTTAATCATTCTGACCACTTAATCATTTTGCATCAAGCAATTCAACAACTGCCAAACAGCCATGAACCTCTTACTGGACCATACTCTTACCCTATTAATACTGACAAATAATGTCGACGGAGTATTAACTTGGTACGGAAAGAAAGACTCTTATTCAGTCAACTTAATCAGACTGAACCTCTAACTGTTTATCCAAATGTTTACTCAATAAGTGCTTACTGATACGAGTCCAACACTATAATTTATTTTGATGCGTGAGATTTTTGTACATCAAAAACGCATCGAATGCAACAATTTACCGGCTAAGCGCTTACCTGGGTAAGAGTCGTCATCTTCAGTTACCGGATAAGACTCTCCATCCTTGCTCTTACTCGGTAAGATTCTTGGTTATTCTCATATCCATCTGATGAAGAAATTTATTCGGTAAACACTTACCAAGTAAGCGTTTAATAAACGGTCCCTAAAAAATAACACTAGTCCTTCGGACAAACCAGTGTGAAGATACAAGAAAACACTGAACCTTCGTAGTGTTTTAGAAACACTGCAAAATTTATTTTTATACATTCACAGTATTTTTGCTGTAAAGGTCCGAAACCAAACCGATCTTATGAGAATTCAACCTATGTCACTGGTTCAATATAGCAAACAGATCAGATACATGGAAACAACAGATCAGAAGGTAAATTAGACGAAGTACCTTATTTGAGGAAAGATCTTCGGAGAATGATGAAAGTAGAATTGTTTAATATCTTCCGCAGAGTAGATCGGACGATTATCGTCACCAGCAACCACAAGCATAGTTGTCACCAATCCTCCGGTGCTCGTTCCGGCGATCACATCAAAATAATCCGCAATTCGTGCTGCAGGTCCATCTATTTCCTGCCGGAGAAAATAAAACCGACATGACGACGCTAAATCATTCCAATTAAAAGTTCATCGAGCGGTTACTGAATAGAATTTAAGAACAATGCATCCAAAAACATGTACCTGAAGCTTTGATTCGAGAAATGAAAGTAAGGTGGCCGGAATGATGCCTCGAACGCCGCCACCGTCGATGCTAAGAACAGTGACGACGCTTGTTCTGGATAAACCTACGTTGGCGCAGTTAACGGTGAGCAGTTGCAAGGCTACCCCCGTGATGATGAGTGAAACGATTACGAGATTAGCTTTGTGAAAGATTCTGGAGTTGGAATTAGCATCCATTTCCGCAATCGCAGAATCGGTTTTCTGAAAAAAAAAAGTTTAAAATAGAAAAAGGAATTTAATGAAGACGGGGGAAGGATGGAAGCGGTGAGTCATGGAATTTTCACAAGGCTACTTGCCTCCGGGTGTAAACGATACCAGACAATTCGTGAGTTATTCGATATCGACTCGGTTAAAGCTCAGTCTACACTTGATTCGAACAGGCTCGATTCAAACTCGAGCTCGATTCGACATATTAACGAGCCGAGTCAAACTATTCAATACTCAAGTCGAAAAGCTTGTGAGATACTCGATTATTTTATATATAATTAGTTTTAAAATATAATACGTTTTTATGATAAAATTTATAAAACATAAAATAATAAAAATATCTTACATTTTAGATATTTAAACAAATTTATGCATTTTTTTAATTATAAAAATTAATCCATTTTTTTTATTAAAATCACAATTAAAAAAAATTATAAAGATGATTAGTAAAATTGTCTCACATTAGAATAACTGATATTAAAGAAAAGAGAAAAAGATGTTATAAAAATAGTGGGATGTAAATGAAATTTCTAACTATGTATTTTTTTTATGATAAAGTTTGAAGTTGATTTCTTTAGTTTTATAAAAACTAAAAAAAAACCTTTAAGTTTTAAAATTTATAAGAGAAACACCCTAAAATTTCATAAATTTCAATGAGTGAGTTTGGTTCGAGCTTGATTTAATTTGAGTTACAGTTCGAGCTTGATTTGAGTTGTAGTTCGAGCTTGATTCGAGTTCGAGTTTGAGAAATAGTTATCGAGTTCGAGTCGAGCTTTGATTTTTACTACTTGTGAGTTTTTTAGTCGAGTTCGAGCTTGGAAATTGGGTTTCGACTTCGAGTCGAGTATAGTGATACTCGAGCTCGACTCGCGTCATTTACACCCCTATTCTCCCATAGCTCAATTAAGTTTTTACCCTTAAAAATTAACTTTATAATTTATCTTAATGAATAATATAACCCACTAAAACAATAATATATGTAGTAATTTATCTGACAAGACTCTTCATCCTTATCAGCACTTTAACTAAGTAAAATTATCGATTCTTGTAACAAGTTCATCCAGATAAACGCCCCCTAAAATATATTTTGATACGAACTAATTTAAGTTATATTTTACTTAAAAATGACCAAAATTGAAATTCTTAGTTAAAAAAATAAAAATTATGAATCAAATGATATATGAGGTCTTATTAAGCATAGAAACTCAAATTTCTTGCTACAGTTTAAATAAAAAGCGTCTGATATATGAGAATCATAATGAGAAAAGAACATTACAGTAGTCCAAATTCAGACGTCTTTAACGTGTAACCAAAGGACCTTCAGCCTATCAGTATCGTAGTTCTTGGCCTCCTAGAATGATTTGGTATGTTACAGTTATAAGATTTTAACATTCCCATTAGAATGATTTGGAATGTGCCCTCGTTGAAAATGGTGTTACAGTTAACTTATCTAATCACTCACTTAAAGGGTAGTTTATTCAAACGTTTACTCGTAACAGTTAACGTCTCACATACTTTACTGGTTAAGATTCTGATTCATCAAAATGGCATGGTATTCAACAATTTACCCAGTACATGTTAACAGGATTAACGTCACCACTTTCACTTAAAGGGTAAGATTTTTTTTTGATTAACCTGGATATTAAACTCATTATGCGAGCCGACTAATCCCAGGACGACCACGTGCTTTGCAGATAGCCCGGAGTCACTGCATTTGAACCTCCTTGGATTTGAACCCGGGAACTCCTGGTAATTTTGACCTTTGGAGGCAAACTCAAACCAATCAGGCACCACCCTTGTGGTTTACAGGGTAAGATTACCGACTCTTACCGTCACTCTCACTGGGTAAGGGGTTCTTTACAAAAAACTTACCCGATAAGTGCTTACCGGTAAAATTCAACGCTATTACTTACTTACCGGGTAAGATTTTACTTCACCAAAACGGCATCATATGCAATAATTTACCCGATAAGCTTTTACCATGGTAAGAATCGTCGCCTTCACTTACAGGGTAAGACTCTTGTTCTTTGTCTCGTTCTTACCGGGAAAGATTCATGGTCCTTACCATATTCATCCAGTAAGGTAATGTGACATGGTAAACGGATTTCATAATTTTCGTTTTTATCGATTTGAACCGAATTTTAATATTTTCATAAAAAAGAAATGGGAAATAGAAACCTATTTGAGGTGTATGGTCCTCCTTCATTTTCTCAATTGTGTTGCTTTGAAAATTCTTTAGAGAATTGAAACTAGAATGCACCTTCAATTTACCATGGTTGAATACAATCTTTCAAAAAGTCAACAAAAGTCAAAATTCAAAAGGCAACAAAAGTCAAAATTCAAGATTTCTTGAAATTTGTGGAAAGCCATTTCATATATGTTTAATTCACCCCCCTCTTGATCTACCCTTTTCTCCTCCTTAATCTTTTGTATTTCGGTTTTCTGATACAATCAATGAATAACACCAATCTTGTTATAGTTTCGCTTGTAATCGTGTTGCTAACCATACAACCCATCACGGCAGATGATCCGAAAAGGTTAAGCAGGGCGAGATTTGTCAGCGTTCTTAGCATCGATGGTGGTGGTGTTCGTGGTATCATTCCTGGCACCATCCTTGCGTTTCTTGAGTCCAAGCTTCAGGTACGTGTATACTGAACGCATCTGTGCGTTTCTTGATCTAATTTGTCGTGAGCATTAAAGATTTGATTGGAGAATACGTTTGTTTTCTTGGGATAGGAATTAGATGGCCCAGAGGCACGAATTGCGGATTATTTTGACGTGATAGCTGGAACGAGCACCGGAGGATTAATGACCACCATGCTTGCTGCTCCTGATGATAGAAATCGCCCGCTTTATGCAGCAAAAGACATTATAAATTTTTACTTTCAGCATTCTCCCCGAATCTTCCCTAAACGAAGGTAAACTCGTATTTGTTTTCTGAACCGATCTGATTTTGATTAAATACAGAGTTTTCATTTTTTTTCCCGAATCGAATTCAGTGTAGGATTTGATGAGACGAAAATTAATCAAACTTTTCCTTCTGATCAAGACTGCAAATTGGGGTATTCTCCTCTGAAGACTTCTATAATTTTCATGTTAAATTTTATTTTGCACGTATGATATTATTATATTCAATATATTATATCATATGCAAAACTGACACAGCGTTTATACACAAAAAAACGTCATTCGAGTGGCATAAACTGTGCTTATGAGCCGGTGAGCCTCTGTTTGAACGATTCGTTAGTATCTTCCGCTTTATTCAAACAAAAGAAGGAAAACCCTTTATTTTAGAAAATTATTTCGGAAAAATGTAGTAGGAATAATTAAGCGTAAAACTTGAATTTATTTACGTTCAAAAATATTACCATTTAAATCAGATACAATCAAGCCAGATATTTCAATGGAGACTCAGATGTTGTTTTTCCCTTTGCAGTCGGAGCAAGTTCGTGAATACAGTAGCAAGTGTATTTGGTGAGGTCGCAGGACCAAAGTATGACGGAAAGTATCTGCGAACATTGACGAAGGTATTATTACGAAACACGACTATCAAACAAACGTTAACGGATATTGTCATACCATCTTTCGACATCAGACGTTTTCAACCTACAATCTTCTCAACCTCTCATGTAAGTTTCGACCAATTTCTCGTTATTCTTAAGTTGTTTATATTGTATTTGGTAATGAGTTTTTTATGTGATTCGTTCAGGCAAGAGAGTTTCCTTGGAAAGACGCTTATCTGGCAGACGTATGCATCAGCACCTCGGCAGCTCCAACGTATTTCCCGCCGTACTATTTCGAGACCAGAGATATTGATGGAACTAAGCATACGTTTGATCTAATCGATGGTGGGGTCGCAGCAAACAATCCGGTAATTGCATCTTAACATGATCCAATAAAGTTTTTTATATCTGTTGTTTTCAATCTGACACGATGATCTTAATCAACCAGATCATGAATGAGAGAGAACAAGGTTTTTAAAAAATTAATAAATGATCTGATACCCGCTTTTTATCTTTTACTTTTAATGCCTTGCTTCGCCACCTAATTGGTTAGTTTTAGATTCTTTTTAGGATAAAAACTTATATCTATACTATATTATAAAGCATTTGATAAAAACTCTTAAAACTCATTTTATATACATGCAATATTGCTTATTAATGCATAGTACTTAAAATTCAAGATTACAAGTATACGTAAGTATAAAACTTATTAAGCTTCATATTTGAATTCGTATAACTAACTGTAGATAAATATAATCAAATACAGAATAAAATTCTTATTTTAAATATAAAATTTAAAATATAATTAAGATAATTATTGAGTTCTAACAGAATATTTAGTTATTATCTTCATAAAAATTATATTATTAAAACAAAAATAAATTATTTCGTCATCAAATCTAAATTAAATTATAATAAAAATTAAATTAAAGAAATTACAAAAAAAATTTGAAAACATTTATATTTTTTTTTAATTTTTATGATATTTTCAAATATATATTTTTATTAAAAAAAACATTATTACTTGCTCAAAACCACATAAATTCGTATTATAACACCGATAGAAACCAAAAAGATAAAATGAAACATTGAAATCGAAACATATCTCGATTCATTGCACGAATACCTTCTAATGATTAATAATATATCAAAATTCATGTTTTTCACTTCCTTACAAGTAGAAATCAATATTGACGTGTTTTCATCACATTAACTTCTTTTTTTTTCTTCATTCAAGTATTTTCGTCATCTTGAAAATTTCAAAATTTTCAGGTTTTTTCAATTTTCTTTATGATTATTTACATCTTTTAGATATGTAATTTCATACTTATTTTTATTACTTGTACTGTTTATTTTTATTTGTATGACAAGTTTTTTTTTTTTATAATTCATTGATATGTTTTAAAATATGAAATAGTTTTTTAATCTATTTTTTATACTTAAAATCAAAAAAATCAAAAATGATACAAGACAAATTGCAAGAAAAAATAACGTACTTTAACTTGACTGTTATTTCAAGTAATGTACTTTGAAAACTTTCATTTTAGTACATAAGATGTAAGGTTTTAAACATTTAAGTACCCGCGTAATCCGTTGAAGCATTAACCGGTTATCATGTTGATATAACGAGTGATGTGGTATCCATCTCAGTATTATTTGCTGACGTGGTTAGTGACATGAAATTTTTTGATCTAAAACTAGTCTTTAACCGGTTACCCGAGTACTTAAATGTTTAGAACTTTACATCTTAGGTATTAAAATAAAAGTTCTGAAAGTACGTTACCCATAATAAGAATCAAGTTAAAATAAGTTACTTTTTCATGCAATTTGCCCAATAAAAAACATTAAATATATAATTTTAGGTTGGATTTGGATCATTAATAAATGATAAAAAGAATCAGGTTGAACTAGAATTAAACACTCTGTAGGTGGATGAAAGAGAAAGTAAATAACCGTTTACTAAACACTTACCTGGTAAGTGCTTACTGGGTAAATTTTCCTTACCGGATGAATATGACAATGGTCAAAAATCTTACCCGGTAAGAGCAATGATAAATATGAAGTCTTACTCGGTAAGTGAATGTGACGACTCTTACCCGGGTAAGCGCTTACCAGGTAATATGTTGTATACGATACCATTTTGATGTATTATAATCTTATTCGGTAGAATAAATTACGACATTGACTCCTAATGATAAGCGCTTACCGGGTAAGCATTTAGGTAAACAGACCCTAAATTTTTTAACAATTGTGATATATTAGATGATAATGAAAATATATGATGGCAGACCCAAATGGCTCTCACACATGTAACAAAGGAAGTGCTGAATGGGAAATACAAGTTCACGGGTTCGAGAAATATTGATGGTAGAAGGATGCTTGTTCTTTCTCTTGGTACCGGTATGCAGAAAAGTTCTGAAAAATATACAGCACAGATAGCTGCAAGATGGGGTTTGCTCAGTTGGATTTTCGACAACGGTTCAGCACCCATTATTCATATCTATAGCGACGCAAGCTCTGATATGGTCGATATTCATGTCTCTACACTCTTCCGAGCCTTCAATGCGGAAAGGAATTATCTACGTATTCAGGTGAGATTCTAATACCGTTGGCCTTATCAGGCACAAAGGCTAGGTGTGGGTTACTGGGCCTAGGTTTGGGCTTACTAGGCTCGAGCTCAGTTGAGGCATCGGCTTCAGCTTCGGCTTCACGCTTGGCATTTTTGTCCGTCTCTAGTTGTAAGTTGTGAACACATTATTCATCACATCCTTAAATCATTCCATCTAACCGTTGAAATCCAATCTCACCATCTCAACCTTCCCCGATGTGTATCCTTGTTAGGGTAGATTCCGATAATAACCTAAAATTGATTAAGAACCCAAAAACCATCCACAACGCCACACATAGCATATTTATCAGGAATATGAACGTGTGATTCATAATGAATAATACCTCCATATTCATCATGAATGCATTATTCACAACGAATATACATCCTGAAAAGGGACAGGTGACAGGTGACGTAGTATAGACGGTTCCTAAGTACATTTTCTGTTAAATATTTAGTAATCAAAACTAGTATTAATGGCAGGAAGAGAACTTGACAGGAGAAACAACTCAGATGGATATTTCGACAAATGAGAATATGAGGACGTTGGAGAATATCGGGAAGCGATTGTTGAACAAAAGTGTATCGAGATTGGACTTGGAGACGGGCATATTAGAACCAGTGGAAGGGGAAGGTACAAACGCTGAAGCTTTAACTCGTTTCGCCCAAATGCTTTCTGCAGAACGAAGGCGTCGTTTAGCAGCTTAAACGCTTCATTCCGTTTCTTCATACCAACAACCCAGGCAGGAAGGCTGTTTTTCATTTTGGCACCAAGTTAACAGTTCGTGTATAATTGTATACGTGTTGTTGATCCAAGAGGAATAGTAGAAATGTTGCTTAAAAATATTGTACAAAATAAATTCCTCGATTATATCAGCAAAAATATTTCCAACAGAAACATAGCTTCGATGGTCATGGTTCCAAACTTGTAGCTAAATCTGTCGCACATCCTAAACCATCTCATAATAACAGTATGTTAGGGACCGTTTACTTGATAATTACCCAGTAAGAGCTTACTAGGTCGCTTACCTTACTGGATGAACATGACATGGACCGAGAATCTTTACCCGATAAGAGCGAGGGCAAAGCCCGAGAGTCTTACCTGACAAGTGAGATGATGACTCTTACCTGATAAACACTTACTAGGAAAATTGTTATATATAATGGACTAGAATTTTACTTAGTACAGTGTACTCGGGTAAACGGCCCATTACCAGTACTATATCGGTTAGACTTGGGTGATTATACCTTTATATATGTTGGAATCCTCCTCTCTTTAGTGGCTCCTTTAAAAAGAAATTCGAAGAGGTTCCACATATTCACAATGTATTATAGCTATATCTACCACTCCTAGGATTCGACAAATTGAATCGATCTTTACTCATCAAGCACCCTATCCGCACTTGGGTACAATTTGTGCTTGTCTAGGCTCTGTTGGAGAGAATGCTAAAGTCCCACATCAGCAAGACTTGAGGGCCGTTTACCAAACACTTACCAGGTAAGCGTCCACCATGTATAAGTTATTAAATTACCTTGCCGGTGAGCATGGCAAGGACCAGTAAGCGCTTACAGGGTCAAACTTAAAAGACACTTACCAATAACCCAATCTAATAGCCAAAAATGAAACTTGAGAAGGTATGTGAAGGTGGTAAACATTCAGTAAACCCCCCCAAAGATTATTTCACCTCTATATGTTAAAATCCCTTCTCTCTACAAGGTCTCTTTTCGAGAGTAATCTAGTGGGCTTCGGTCCCATGCTAAACATACGTTCCATACGAGACAAATTTTAGGCCTTCCAAAGAATTGATAATTGGGAAACAAACACAAGACCTAATGCTTTCATAAGGCAACAAGTCCAGGTGATTAAGGCACATAAACTATATAAATCACAATCCCGAAAAGCATATGCACCAGAATCCATTTTTTCTCGAAATAAAATCATATGTTGCACGTGATATGAAAACAGTCATGTTCGAATAAACCTCCGAGTCTTCATCAATAAGCAATGTTTAGAACTCAAATTTTGCTAGTGTTACACAGCCAAGACAAAAAAAAGAGTTTCAGAACAAAATTTAAACAGGCTTTTATGTTCTTACAGTTGTTTCAAAGATCTCCCACAAAGCCTGGAAAGGGGAAAGAAGAAAAAGTGCATCAGTGAACTGCTAGATTTTGGAGATTAAAAAATTGCTTAAACTGATGTGTTATTTAAAGTTCCCTGAGATACTCCCTCAAATCTCAATCCCAAAATAAATGTCCACAATAAAAAATAAATTAACACTGTAATAACTACATTTCTTAACAAATTAATGACAATTTTACTCTTAATAATATGGAAAGTTAAAATTTTCTATATCTCATAGTTAAAGGTGGAATTAGAAAGTAGCAGGCATGGTCATTTGCCCCACCCCGTTCGAGACTGGGTATTCCCTGTAAAAACGGGTACCGGGGCCAGGGATCCCCGACATGTCCTTAACCAAGATCGGCGCCAGGCTGGGTGATGTATTCCCAACCTGCGCCTTCCACGTGTATATATATTAATTAAAAGCATACTTTTTATATACAGTACATATTGTACTATATTTTTCAACCAAATTGTAGGCATTTTTTGAACCATTTTTCGTGGAACCGGGGGTGGACCAGGGATAGGCCCAACAAAAAGAAGGGGGGGGGGGGTTCGATACCCGGTATCCGCAGGGGCCGAGGGGCAAGAATGAGATAGTGGAACCAGGGCCGGGGAAAAGGATCGCATTCCCCACACCCTGTTGCCATGCCTAGAAAGTAGAAAGTAGGCACCTTTTGAAATTAGACACTTATTTTAGGACAAACTAAAAACGATATATGGACGATAATTTTGTTCAAGGGAGTATAGTTTGAGTTTGAGCTCATACCTGATGTATCTCAAGTTGAACATGTTCTTGACAGGAAAGAGTCTAACTTGAGGTTTACAAAATCTAGCAGGTGCAAATATGAAGCCTGAAAATAAACGTTTGAACAATAATTATTTACCCAATCAAATCCTGGATTTCTGTTGAATCATAACAATGAAAAGACACTTCAGGGAATTTAAAAAGGAAGTATGTCAAACCTTTATCTTTGTAATCTACTGAAACATTCTGGCAAACGATTTCTTTTCTCGTTCCCGTCTATCAGCAATCTGCATTCACTTTACATTATAAGCCAAAGTCTCTTAAAATTTCTACCAAGAAAAAACTCAACTTAGTTTCTTTAAATAAAGAAATTGATATTGATATCAAATGAATGCACTAGCCTTCTTCTTTGCAGCAGCTAGCTCCTTCTTTATACCACCTGAACAGCCAGAAGAATAAGGTCAGAACAAGATTCCGGAATAAATGCTAAAACCAAACCAAACCAATCGAACCCGGTATATCAAACCTGGGTTTGGGGAGGGTAAGATGTAAACAGACATGACCTTTACCCCAAAGAGTAGAGTGACTATTTCCGTGAAGACCCGAAGGTTTGTGAAAAGTGTAACAAAGAGAAAGGAAGATACGATAAAGATTTGAAAAGTTGCTTCAGAGAAAGCGATAATACACAAAACAATCCAGACTAAATACTCCATATGGAATTGTAATGTCATGTGTCAGATGTATACAAAGCAAGCATGTGATAAAAGATAGATTTAACTCACCGTCATTAGGTTCCAAGACTAGTGCTTTCTTGAAGCTTTCAACTGCAGAATCTATGTCGTTGAGTGCCATACTTGCCTGGTACAAAAAAAGCACAGTGAATCAACATTGCGAGAAACTGTCGTTAAATATTTCAAATCCCAGATCCACATGTATTTGATTCAGTACCATCATGGTAAAGCACAAGAGCATGACCATCAAGGCTTAAAATTACACCACTGCCAAGTCAAAACAATACAACTTTCATGCCAAATTACAACAAAACTTAACCTTTGTGGTAAACCATTTTCAATTTAAAGTTCATAAAGACCAAACAAACTCAATATATCACACACAGAGATAGAGTCGGGGGGATAGAAAGTACGCAAACCTTGTCTCTATCATAGAGGGTTGAGAGGTTGTTTCCAATTTAAAGTTCATATGAAACTAATAATAATATAAAAGATTAAAAGGAAAATGTTTGTTCCTAGTAGAAACCTAAGAAGCAAGTATATGGATGAAGCAACTTAGACATCCCAGAGGATTAAGTTGAAAAGCCCAAAGCTTAAAAATGACTGAATCCATTTCTGTGGGTGATATGCCATTCTTTTAATTATTTAGACTGCATTTTATTTGTATATAATTATATATGCATAAAAACAATACAGTTTAGATGCAAATAAATTCTTTAAACAAAGAAGAAAAAAGAGATTGCACCTGAATTGCAAAAAATTAGACAATTAAGCACCAAGTCACTGAGCAACACACCCTGTTTCCTAGATTGTAAGCTATCATATAGTTATCATCTTTGATCTAGACCTATAAAATTGGAAATAAATTTATTTTCCCACCAAAAGCATGGACTACAATGACTGAAATTCAATGTGAATTAATTGCAACTGTGGAAGCAGAACGAGGGGAAAACTAGAGAAACGACCTTTGTGTTCATGTAGAACCAATCAATATGAATTTCAAACATATTGCTATAATCAGAAACATCTAATTATAATAGAAGCTTCTTATCACAAAAAATAAAATTTTCCTGGGCACATGGGTAACCTTGCAAGAAACATATCTGCCAAAAATGCAAAATGTGGGAAAAAACTCCATCCTTTAAGTCCATAGTTCGAGATAACTTAATATAAGAACTCCCCAACATATACCATCGTTGCTGAAAAAATTACAAAATACAGGTATGGACTACTACAGGATAAGAAAAGGACATAAATAACAGTCTTATTAACATTATTTTTTTTTTTTGAACTTAAACAATACCCCAAATCAAACGTGCAGAGAAGCATACAAGTTTCCCACACACTATATCAGAAAGAATATAAGAAAACAATGACAACCCACAAAAATGAACTTCCAAAAGGAGATGCAATAAAAAAGAAACATAAGAGCTGTAATCAATATACCACACAAGTACAGTTACCAACCTGGCCTTGACGGTACAGAGCTTTCACATTATCATCCATTTCACGGAGTGCAAAGTCTGCATCCAATAATGCTCCTTTCAAGTCTCCCAGTTTCAACTTGCAGGCCTAAAAAAGAAATGTTTATCAACATTTGAAGGATAAGAAAAAACTTGAAAAGGCAACAATTCAACATAAATATAAAGACAATGTAAGAACTGCTTGAAAGTCCAAAAATGAAGCACGTTTCCAATAAGAAAACTAATAAAAAGAAAAAAAAAAAACTAATTGTTTGCCATTGGTCCTTCTCACAGAAAATGATAACCAAATGCTAGATTAATGTTAAAGAAAAGTTCATGATCTGGCAGTTGACCAAAATGATATGGTGCTTGACCTATAAGAACTCAGAAGACAAATACAAATCTTTCAATATAAATGCCGAATCTCATTTAATGAGACGATACACATACCAAACTACATTGGTTACAGACGACCACCATGGTAGTTTAACAATATGTTTATGGAAATTTCCACATTAACCTTGTGTTCTCACTTATTTCTCTGTTTAAATCAGAGTTTTCAAGAGCTGAGGTGGCAGTACGGTTGTAGGATGAGAAAGAAGACAACTTACAGAACTGTTTGTAAATATCTGAGACTTGGTCTTCCTTAGGGAATCTGTTTTTCCTGAAAAATCAGAGGAACAGCTGAATCATATTAGTAAGAAACACATGACTATTTAATTTTGGTCCTCATGTTCACAAACACCCACCTTCATCAATGTCTTCCTTCTCCCAGCAGACATCCAAGTAACGGAGAGCCTTGCGGTACTTTCTAAGAGCATTTTTGTAATCTTGTTTCTACAGAAGTTAACAATAAGAAAAATATAAAAGCAATATAGTCATTGTTGTATAAAAACAATAACGAACGCACATCATCTTTGCAGAAATTCAGATCTAATTACAGTTCAACATGGACTACAAAAAAAGAAGTAAGCACATATGCATATCTTGTGGATCAGTTCACAGTAACTCCTATTATTTCTCTTTACCCAAGAAAAACTTAAACTATTTCATGCATGAGATTGTAATCTGAATACTACTTCATCCATCCCAAAATAAGTCTCATATTTCTATTTTAATTTGTTCCAAAATAAATGCCCTTGATAAAAATAAGTGTTAAATTTTCAATTTTACCCTTAACAACGAAATGGAGAAATTCATTACTCCTTTATATTAAGGGTAAAATTGTCATTTTGTTGATTAAAAAGTATAATCATCACATGTATGCCTTTTTCATTGTGGACATTTATTTTTGGATAGAGGAAGTAAAAGGTAGCTTGTAAAGTACTTTGCCTGCAGGTACCTTGAACTGTTCATTCCCAAAGGTTTTAATGGTATCAACAGCAGTTATCCACCAAGAAATCTCCTCAGGCTTAACATCAAGATCGAGTGGCCAATCAGGGTAAGTGTCACCATCCTTGAAAAAGTCACACACCCCATCATCTGCTCCCTCGGGAATTTCCCCACAATCTTCTATAATGACATCTAGAGTGGGTACGTCATTTTCTCCTGTAGTAGTATGCTCAACCGAACGAACTACACCCATTCCTTTAATAACCCTGCCAAACACAACATGTTTCCCATCTAGATGAGGAGTACGAGTTGTAGTGACAAAAAACTGAGAGCCATTAGTATTAGGACCAGAATTAGCCATTGATAGCATTCCTTTTCTTTCATGTTTCAACTCAAAGTTCTCATCTTCAAACTTCATGCCAAAGATTGATTCTCCTCCAGTGCCATTTCGAGCAGATATATCACCACCTTGAATCATAAAACCTTTAATAACACGATGAAAACAGGAGCCCTGAAAGCAAAGCAAACAATGAGCTATTACGCAGTACTTATGTCCACACAAGAAAATAGATGAAAAGGTACTAAACGAAATAATTTGCAACAACATGCGTTTATTACAAACTAGTTGAAGGTGGATTAAAGACAACCAAAAACACCTATAAAATATTGAGCATATATAAATATGTAAACCATCTAAGGTTGATGAATATAATGGTGTTCATTCCAATTTCCACGCACTCGTATCTAAGGATGACTTCTATTGTATATCATTCAAATCTATCTTTAGCACTTCAAGGACAGATTTTGGTTGACCTCTGCCTCTCGTAGAAGCCTCATATTGGCACAACCGCACAATTGCCCTCTTATAATTAGTGCATCTAAAAGTTCATGTTAGGACGAGAAACCACCTTTATATCTAATCATTTCCTTAGCTGTGAGGCCATAAATTAGTAAACATCAAACAGATCTTGTGTGATTGTTCTCCTTGGGCAGCCTGATACTCTACATGTAAATCGTAGAAAGTCTTATCCTCATCATACAAAGTGACCTTTCTACACAAATAGAACCTTTTGATCAAACAAGGCCACTAAAGCTTGCTATCATCTCATCCAACATGATTAAATTATTTTACTGACACCTTCACCAATCTCAACAGTTTTTACTAAAAAGCAAACCAAAAACCAAACACTCGTGTGTGAGCAAGGAGTCTAAACAACTCAACCAATTTTTTAAATGACAATGCTAGGAAGCTTGGCAGAACTCACAATTCTAGATGAACCTTTTCCTTCAAACAAAATTAGAAAGCATAGGAACTACCTAATTAGAGAAATAGATGGTATAATTTTATTATTTACTTACAACACGTGCAATCAGGGTTGAATATGGCTTGACTACCACTCGAGTCAAGATTGAACAAAATTTCTTATGCTTGCTTTAGTCTGCTTTCATTTTCCGGCACTCATATCATCCTCGACTCTAATACAACTTGTAATTTCCCTCCATAAACACTTGCAAAATACAAGCCACTTCCAAACGAACAACACAAAGTATAGAATCAGGCTCCAGCAGATAAACAAATTCAAGCAACAATCAACCAATCTTACATGAAAACTCACAAGATGAAACAAAAACGAGAAAATTACGAAATCGAATATGCTAAACAAACAACTGCACACATATTTAGGTTAGAAGTGTATCAAAAGAAGATTATACCTTCAAATGAAGAGGAACACCAGTGTTAGGGCCAATCCCCTTCTCTCCGGTACAAAGAGCCCTAAAATTCTCAGCGGTTTTCGGAACAACGTCTTTGTATAGCTCCACCACCAACCTCCCTTCCAGTTCTCCTCCAATACTTATGTCCAAATAGCATCTCGGATTCACCATTTTCCTTTTCTCTCTCTCTCTCTCTCTCTCACTCTCTCTACACCAGCAAACGGAATTCGAAGAACTTGAAAGTAGAGAGTGAATCAAAACCCTAAAACCGGTTCTGCTTCTTCTCCCCCCGCTATTTATTTTGAAAGTTGTGTGGGGGATGATGCTAAGATACGCGGGGTATATTGTAGCGCCTGAGGCTGTGATAGAGTAGATGACGGACCAGGGAGAGTAAGTGGTGTACGGATGGTATGGACGGTGGGATTTGATTTTGCAAAAGAACGGACGGTTGAAGAGTAAAGGGAGGAAAAGACATTCGAATGGCGAGATTGTCGGATGGGGTTGACGTTGACGTGACCCTCGTCGTGTGGGTGGGGGGTGACCTTTCGGCTCTGATCCAACATGTGATACGGAGTGTCGGTTCCTCCGGTCCAGGATTCGGGGTGAGCAATCCAGCAAAGGTCCGAATCCGGTCAAAATTAATGTGACCGATTTTTGTTATCGGAAGCGGCAAGGAATCGGAACCGGTTATATTTGGGAATCGATCTTGGAACCGGTTTTAGCATCGGTATTCGGTGTCTAATTTTTTTTATAAATTTTATCATTTAATACTATAAAAAAGTAATTATTAATCTATTACAAAGTAATTTTCACAGTGTTTTTCCTGTGAAAGTTCGACTTTTCTTTACCTTCATGGCGTTTTGCTGTGAGTTTCAAGTGTAAAAAAATGGTCTTACGAAAACAAGTTGGTCTCACGTGAACTCAACCTTTATTCCCAAAATAGTATCCTATATCAAATACCAATATAGATACATATGCATTAAATACTTTCCAACTCTCAAAATGTAACAATAGACCATGAGAGGTCATAATGAATGTACCTCATTTTTTATTGTTGGTATTAATAGGTAAAGTAACAACAAAAAATGGGATTATCATCTTAAATGGTCTGAAAAAAAAAAGGTTTTATATTATAATCATGATTTTATTTTTTCGTATAAAATAGTCAAAAACCGCAAGTCATTTTTTCTTGTGATGCAGCAGGTTGCGATTTTGGCTTGCTTTTGTACGTCGATGCATTTTCTTGTGATGCTATAACTTGCGGTATCTCAATATAATTTTAGGGTGGGTCCACTTTCATCTCGGTGTGTTTGAAAGCGTCAGAGACCATTAAAAAATGTCTTGCGACGTTGATTTGCGATCTCTGAGAAAAATGTAGCCTTTTTATAGGGCAAATTGCATGAAAAAAGTAAAGTACTTTAATTTGATTATTATTTTGGGTAACGTAATTTCCAAACTTCAATTTTGGTATCTAAGATGTATAGTTTTAAATATTTAAGTATCCGGGTCACCGGTTGAATACTAATTTTATATTAAAAAAATATTAATTTTAGATTAAAAAAAATACATGTCACTACCCATTTCACCAAATAATATTGAGTTGAATATTACATTACTCACCACGTTATCATGATAACCGGTTAATATTTCAACTCATTACCAGGTACTTAAATGTTTAAAATTTCACATATTTGGTACTAAACACAAAAGTTTTGAAAGTACGTTATCCAAAATAGAAATCAAGTTAAAGCATGTTATTTTTTCCATGAAATTTTGCACTTTATTTATCTCTGATTTATGAATATTCACACATCTCTAATAGATAACACCAGATATTATATCAATTCCTTAAAAACTTGGTGTAAAATTTGAAACAAACAGAAAATCTACTTAAATGGATATCACCATAGCGCTTACACCAAAATGTAATATTCTAGTTATGTCCAGTTTTACCCTTTCTCACTGGTGTAATTTTTTATGTAAACGAAAAATATTACATCAAATTTGGTGTTTCCATAAGAATGATTTTGGTTAAATTTAATATTTGGTGTCCCCGTTAAAAATTGTCCAACTAAATAAGTAAATCATGGACTTGGACTCGTTCTATCGTTTGTGGTTCGTAACAACAACAAAACCCATGTTGAAATGCATTTGTTTTGGTACCATCAAAATATGTGAAACAAAAATTATGGAGATGTTACACGGACGGTAAAATGTTAAATTACTTATGTCGAATTAAAACCCTAAACATTTACACAATTATTTCACCCTGCTTACCTCCACACTCGTTTGTTCAAGATTGTACGTGTACCAAATGAATCCTTTAAATTATATTGGCTAATGTTGAGGAATGAAAACGAGAATGAATTTTTATTCCCCCCAGTTTAATCGAGAATAAAATTTTGGGTTTCTGGATGAATGAACCCATTATATTATTGAATACTAAACATTTTTTTATTATTATTTTCATTCTCATTGATTACTGCTTAATACATCTAACAAAACACCTCATCAGTTTTTCGAAGATGTCACCATATTTGATGTTATTCCCTCATGGTTGGATTTTAGCCCTTTTTGAAAACATGTACTGTATTATTAGTTGCAAGAATCAAATCAAATTGGACAACTCGGGTTTTTATTCTGAATTTATAACAAAACGATCATTGGTTTTCTTCAGGTTGAAGCCAAAACTAAATTATTGTTTCTTTGTTTCAATTATGAAATGACATTGTTAAAAAAATATTATTTTTAATTAAAAATATCACAAATATATATTTAGCAGGTGGTTTTATTCAGTAATAAATCAATTTAAGTTGGTCTGATTCAAATGTGATAAAGAACATATATTGCAAACAAGGAGACTGTTTCACAGTTGCTGAATGATTTGATGTAAAACGATTAAATGATATAATGATTAAGAGACTCTCATGATATATTGTAAAATGAAATATAATTATTTAGAATGAAATCAAAACATTTAATGGTTAAGAGAGACCAAAAATACAAAATCATTTAGAGAAGATGACTTCTTTCATATCTATCCTTTTTTTCTTATAATTTTGATTAATTATAAAATATTTCAACATATTAAATGCTAAGAAAATAGGAACCATCATCTATATATATCTAATTATTTTAGCACATTAAAATATCATTTATCTTACATTTTCAAATAGAAGTTCAAGGAATTTTCACTTTTATTTTTATTCTTTATTATTATTATTATTTAAACATATGCTTTTTTGAATTTTTTTATTATTTTTTTACATAATATTTTTTTTTAAAGTAAGATAACATTTTTTATAAATTAAAACTCTTATTATATAGTTATGCTATATATATAAATCACTATTACTAAACAATTGTAATCACATTTTCTACGATTATTTCTATTATATATGTCTAACATCCTTATATTATATATATCATTAATCTTCAAACCGGTTACCCGAGTACTTGAATGCTTAAAACTTTACATTTTAGTTTACCAAAATGAAAGTTTTGAAAGTAAGTTACTCAAAATAAGAATCAAGTTAAAAGTACGTTACTTTTTCATGTAAATTGCCCTAAATTTATCTCAACAAAATTTGATATAAACTTTACATAATACATCCAACGTTCTTGTTCAAAACAATAAAAAAGTTCTCCAAATTTGAAGATTTTTATCTGTTAAGATTAAAAAAGCGGGTTAAATGTTCAAAATCTCGGTCTTGAAAAATCTGTTCGAGGTCTAACCAGACGCCCCTTTATAATGTAATCCAAAAAAGGTTCGATAAAAACACCATCGATACAAAAAACAAAAAAAAAACCCATTCCTACAAGATATCTATCGATCGCTAGAAAATTACTTATAAGACCTGATAACGAAATTTATTGCACAAAATCTCTCACGACACACGACCAAATCACAAGCAATAACCTTTTCAAAACCCGGGACAACGCTGACATTTGAAATCTCAGGGATCACGCAGTTTGATTCGGGTTATCTTGCTTAGAGGCAACGATCTTGCAAATGGGTCTGGTTTCGTCTTTGCTTAGAAGCTCCAAAGACGAATGGACTTTAACGTCGCGCATGAATACCCGATCACCGATGTCCAGATTGCTGATATCGACTTCAATCTTCTGGGGAATGTGTTCCGATGGGCATTTGTACTTCAAACTAGTTCTTAGTTTGTTCAAAAGACCACCTGGTTTCTCGACAATTAGTGAATAATAAGATCACAAAAATTGGATTCATCTTTTCGTGCTAGTAAAAAAAGTATACAATCCCCGTAACCAATAAAAATCAGCGTTGTATCGTTTCTTTTTTCTAATACCCAAAAAGGAAAAATGGTGGTAAACTTGGTTAACAGCAGTAATAACTAAAACCAGATCAAAGGTGTGATTGGACAGGATGAAGGCAGATCAGAACAAAAACTTGTTGTCTCATATTTGATGTGACAAATGACAACACACCAGAATAGGTGGAACAAAAACCAAGAAAATGGGATGAGATATGTAAATTAATAAACTAGACATTTCATTTTAAAGCCATAAAACATTCCACAATACTTTCTCCCACCTACTTCACTCTCACTTTTACACGTCCAGTTCTGTTATGTCCCGTCCCGTCCCATACCAAATGCACCCAATATATTGCATACAAAGGTAGAGTATGGAGATAGGATGTATATAGACCTTGTTTCTACCCCAAGGGGTGGAGAGATGTTTCCCCTGGCTTGAAAAATAATGGGCTTGAACCACAAGGGTGGTGCCTGATTGGTTTGAACTTGGCTCCAAAGGTCAAAAGTACCGGGAGGTCACAGGTTCAAATCCAAGGAGGAATAAAAATCCCCTTGTGGCCACGGAGATTCAAATTCGGTGACTTTGGGCTATCTGCAAAGCAGGTGGTCGCCCTGGGATTAGTCGGCTGACACAATGGGTTGGATATCCAGGTTAATAAAAAAAATGGACTTGTTTGGTTTGGTTTGAAGAGCATAAAGATTTCACTCTGAATCTCCAAACATCGTTGTGACGTTTTATTAATTAATTATCTCCCTCCGATGTGCTGATAACGTATTCCTTTCATCTGATTGTTGTTTTTGTCGTACCTCTACTCTGCTAGATGTCTCCTCCGAGTGGTCTCCTTTCTATCTTTTTTCCCTTTCTTATGTTTCTTCAGGGTTTCCGACCCTTGTTATTTGTTTGTAAGATATGCCATCCCAGTAAGTTTGATTAGAAAGTATGCTTTCTCTAATTCTATTCATAATGAATAGTGACCCTTGTTAGGTTACCTTTTACGAATATTTGTAAGAGCCAATAACACATATTAGTATTCCTGAAATAAAAAACCCGATCCCACCACCTAATATGCATCCTATACTTCCAAGTTTCAAGAACACAAAATTGAATAGGACACTTGATAAATGATAGCATCAGATAACTAATCAAAATTGTCTGCCAAACAGAAGAAAAAACGAACCTTTCTTGAGACCAGGGCAAGAATCTTCGCCTTTAAAGACAATGGGAACATCGACCTTCAGCTCTGTTCCTTCGTCCGCCCAAACAAATACCAAATTCAAAAGCTTTCCTGTCTCTGTGTCCATATGCACCTACAGCCAAATCCGAATCTATCAGAACCAAAAGCGAAACAAGCTGAATCCAGCATCAGCATTATTCGCCAAAATAGCCATCAACTTTCAGTCAGAAAGTGAAACTTTTTTGTTATTTAACTATCATATACTATGATACGAAGTATCAGAAATCTAGAGGCCCTGGATGGAGAAGGAATAACCTTAATACAATAATACTTCATCTCAGCTATCACAGAGATTTAATCACCAAGATTATATTTCACTGATACGTGTGCAGATGGGACTTGATGGACAGGATGGCCGAGAGTGAGGTTGGCGGGTGAAATTTTTTGTGCAAGACTTTAGGATATTTTGGTAATTTACCATGCTTGTCCATATAAACTTGCATCGAATTTGAACCAATAACATATCCCATCGTGGAAGTACCGGAAAAACTCACATAAGCAAAAAATCTCAAATATCCACGATCATGAGACATAATTATCACAATAAATTAGAACCAGAATTCCAACATTAGTGATTAATAGTGACATAATAGAAGCAAGTGAATTGATCAAGCATCCGGATTCTAAAGAAAAATCATTATCGATAATCCAAGACCATACATATGGATAGACAAAACTGTTATCCATTTGCTCCCTATTTTTGTGCCATCAATATATCATTGTCCTACATGGTTTAGGGTTTATGATTTGGGTCTGTCTAAATGTCTCATCAAATTTGAAACAAGTTTTTGTTCTTACGTCCCGTCGTACCAAAAGCACCCAAAGTGGCTACTTTCAAATACTGAAGCTTTTTGAATGTCTGAACTCCTAGTATACTACTACTATAATAATGAGTTCAATTGCATAATGTTCAACAAATTCATCGAAAAATTGCTCAATATGAGTTCGATTTTTGAAGTGTGCAAGTTAGATTCCAATTCAAAAGGAAAATTACATGGTCTCAAACACTAATTGCATTAATATTCTTACAGTGTTCACCGTATTGATGATTTTATATCGAACACTTAATTCACATAAACAATTGGGACAAACAAATAATTTGGTTCAACGACGACACTCGCAAATGGAATAGTAAACTTGCCTTGATTGGGAGAACATTTCCGGATTCAAGTAGCGTAGAAGAGCCCGACCCGGCTCTGATCTGCAAGGGGAAAGTGGTGGAGCAGAAGTAAGGAAGGTCAATAGACTTAAGAATGGACTGAATCTGCTTTCTCTCGGTGGTTAATAGGTGCTTTCTAGCAACGGACCTCACCGGACTACTGCCTCCGCCGTCAGTACTAGGGTTAGGTTGTGCGAACACGACGGCCGGTATTCGACCTTGAGCTCTATCTTTGACGGAGATTCTATTACCGGAAATCTCCCTAGGAATGGCTTGGATTGTATGGTACGACCTTGACGTCTCCGCCGTTTTCCTCAGTCCAACCACCGCCGTGCGCCACCACTTCGACATCGTCATCTCAGTGTAGATGTAGATGGGAAACACTTGAAAGCTCTCGAGAAAGTGAGGATTTAGCCATGCCTTTATTGGGCTTGGTGTTTCGTAATTAATAGATTTAATTGGGCTTTTTAGAAATCTTATATTGGGCTCAATTTTTGCATGAGTACTTGAGTAGTAGAAAACTAGAAAGGGTCAAAAGCCGGTCCAAGTCAGGTCGAGCCTAAATCGATCCTCGGCTGAAACAGTAACAATTCGAACTGGTTCCGGTTCCGTCAAAAATACCAAGGCCTGGCTACGGTAACCGTCCCATTCCCGGTTTCGGGCTGAGCCTAAACCGATCCTATGTTAAAAAAACATTTTCTTTTTATATTTTTTAAAAATTTCTTTTTGATGAATTTTTAAAAATATTTTAATTTTATTCTAATACACTTTAACATATCTAATTGGATCAATCAAATATACTTAAAAAGTACGTTTTATTATAGTTTTATAATTAGTTTTCAATCAAATATACTTAAAAATTACGTTTTATTAAAGTTTTTATGATTGGTTTTCAATCAAATCTTAAAAAATATGTTTTATTGTAAATTCGTAATTTGATTTTCAATCAAATACACTTATAAAGCTAAAAATACATATAAGAAAACAATTTTTTTGAAAAAAGATCGGGTCGGTCCCATGCCAGCCTATAACCAATCCCAAACCGGTCCCATGGCAGGCCTTGTTTTTGAATGAAAACCATAACCGGTCATTAACCAACGGTCCCAATCAGTCCCGACTCCCGGGGCCAGGCCAAGCCCATTTGGCCATCTCTAAATTGAGTAGAAATGGCCAAAATTGGTCCCAAATAAAATTTAACCTTGGGACAATTTTTCTAAAATGTTCCAAGTATATTTCGTATTTAACACCCGTAAATATTCGTTGTTATTATTAAAATATAAATATTTAAATTTACCAAATTATTCGGTCGTAAAATTGGCTTAGGCTTTCATAAGAGCCCTTAACCCTGTGGTAAAGTAAGTGATGCAGTAATTACTTACCCAATAAATAAGTGCGTTTGATTTACAGGAATGTTTCTGAGGGATTTGGATTCCTGAAGGGATTTGGATTCCATGGGATTTGGATTGGATTGAATTTGAAATCCATTCCTCTGTTTGGTTTGTAGGATTTGGATTTAGAATTTTTTTTTGTAATTATTTTTGGATACCTTTACACGCCCCTGTTTATACTATAATGCATGACAGGAAATTAGGGCAGAACCCTTGTGCATTTTCTATTCAACAATAGGGCAAAACAGTAGTTGGTCCTGGATTGGTTTTGTATTATCAATGCATTATCAAATTAAAACCCCAAAATGCAGACCAGAATCGAGCATTTCTAATGCTATAGAAAAGGGGTTAATCGATTACCTGATGAGTGATGGGAGACGCCGGCAAACAGGAAGGAAGACAGCATCGGCGAGGAGGCAAACCTAGGGCACAGCTTCGCAAGGGACGCGACGGGAAGGAAGCGGGAGGCGTGGGTGAAGCAATCGATGGGAGGGAAGCGTAGCCGTGAAGGAAGCGGGAGGCGTGGGTGAAGCAATCGATGGGAGGGAAGCGATGGGTGAAGCAATCGATGGAGAAGATGGAGAAGAGAAGATGGAGAAGATGAAATCCCACGGGGATGGGATTTTAAAATCCCATGTATTTTCAAAGGATTTTGAAATCCATGGTTCACGGGATTTTAAATGAATCATTGGATTTGAAATCTTACCCTACAAACCAAACACAAGATTGGAATGGATTTCAAATCCAAATCCCCCAAATTCATTCCAATCCCGCAAACAAAACGCACCCTAAGTCTACAAAATTTAGTAGACATTATAAGTCGTGAACAATATCTCTTTGTTTTTACCAATTTACAACAAAAAAGGTAAACCAACTAGACCAGTAAATCCCACTCAAAGTAAAGGTTTGAGGTGAGGTGTATGCGTACTTGACCTCTGCAAAAGTCGAGCGTCTGTTTTCGACTATAAGTTAGGGTAATAGTTTATCTCAATCAGAATCAGAGGAATACCCCTGCTGAGGATCAAGTGCCAAAACCATCTTCGAAATACTTTCACCGATCTCTTCGACTTCTTCCTTTCCGAAACCCCAATCTCGAAGCACATCGGCACCTATTGATCCTCTTTCGATGCCGAGCTTGTGAATGTTGTTCAATCTGTTCTCCAAGAACGGCAGCACAGCAGTGGTGGAACGCAATCTGGCTGCCATAGGGATCGAGTGGACGTCAAGTGATCCCCGAGATCCTGATCCTGATCCCGATCCCGATTGGGGGTTACTTAAAAGCTCCCCACGTCTGCCAACAAGATTGCCGAAGATGGAAGGAAAAGGCAACGGTATCGGAAGAGGACAACGAGATACTGATACATGAGAGAATCTAGGTCTTGTTGATGTGTTTTCATATGCAGTTTCAACTGCTTCACGTACTTCAGAAACCGAGGCCTCGTGGTGTCCTGTACGAGTAAAAGAATAAAGATGTAACGGAAACAACTGCTCTGCTCTTTTTAAAATATATGATATTTATATACGGCAAATACTCATGCACAATTCTGAACCCTTGACCTCCTTGGGGGTTGGGCCCTATTGTTGAACAGGGGTACCACTGGACAAAGGCCCTTTGGCACCGCTCTACTATTTGGGGTGGAGGATAGGTAAAGGCAGAGCAAGAAAATTTTCCGAACCGGAGGCATAAAATAATAAATCGTGTGGTTTTATGAAACCACAAGATATGGCTCGAATCCATAGTGAAGTTGTAACAAGGTTAGCCGTACTGGAAGGTGCGGTTGGATCACCTCCTTTTCAGGGAGAGTTGATGCTTGTTGGGTATTTTGAGGTTAAGGTGGTGAAAGAATTGTGCAAGCTTTTTGGGGTTTCAATTTGACATATATAGTTTAGTAATTTACCAATTTTGTCCATCTTCTTGTTTTTTGTTCCACCTATTTTAGTGGGACTAAAAAAAGTGTATTTTTGTCCCACTCAGACCGGTCTTTTCTTGTCGCTGTCTAATGTTGCATTAAACATGGGACAAGTTTTTGCTTAGTCCTATTCCGCATACTAAATGAACCCTTACAGAGAAAGACAAACGTAAACGAACTCCAGACAGGCACTAGGAAACAAAAATAAATGCATATAAGAACAGGTAGCATATATTCATACCAGCTCCAAGGACACCGTGCACTACCATCGATTCAATGGCTTGCAAGTCTTCCACATCATGTGCGGTTTCAGGGGTCAGCGGTTGCAAGTTCACTAGCCGAAACCGTCTATCTGAATTCATAGATCACCAAAATCAGAAACAATACAGTTGTGAAATAGTCATTGAACTAGAGATCAGTAAACCAGTTATACCAAAGGGTCATTGGCCCAATGGTTACCGGTAGAGCCCGGCCTCTCACGAGGCCAAGGGCTCAAACCTTACCAAAGGTGAGGACTAAGGAGTGTGCGTGAGTATTTTTCGTATATAGATATTATATACTTCAAAAAATATACATATATATATATATATATATACCAGTTATCGATGGTGCTGGCATTGCAGCATCTAGAATGGTAACGGAATTTTGCCTGGCTTGCCCTACTAACATCTGTATTCCTTCGTATAAATCCATGGCACCAGATTCATTTAATGATTCACCAGCAGGACCAACTCTTTTCATCCGGAAAGGGAGAGTAATAGAGTGAATAGCAGATGCATAAACCGCACTAGAGTGATAAGGCTTTTCGTTTTGTAAATTAAGAAATTGGGAAGCCCTGTCTTCACACATAGAAACAAGAATGCATATAAATCTCATGTGAGTATGCACATGTGAAGAAATCATATAATTAGATGAAGAATGATGCTAAACATGGCATAATACTCTGTTCATCCCAAAATAAATGTCGGCAATAGAAAAGGTATCCACATTTTTCGAATTTTACTACTACCTTTCTTGTTTTCATGTTCTTCGTTAGTCTTTATCTCCCACACTTTGCAGCCGCTCTACTATTTTGGGTAGAGATCAGGTCTACGTACATCCAAACCCAACCCCACCAAAAGATCCCACCTTCAGGTGGGATATACTAGGCTTGTTTGGTTTGGATAATAAAGAAGGCACAAAGTTTTAGAAATATGTAACTATTACATTTTTTAACTATTTAAATGACAACTTTACCCTTAATAACAGAGAGAGTAATGAATCGCTCCATCTCATAACTAAAAGTAGAATTGAGAAGTAGGACTTACTTTTGAAAGTGGACACTTATTTTCGGACAAGCTAAAATATAAATGCAGACACTTATCTTGAGACGGTGGAATGATATATTAGCACCAGAATTGTGAAAACAATGTTTAGCCGAAGAGCTTACTTTCACTTAGAGATGGTAAACCAAGAGGAACAATCAATTTGCACAAGGATGAAAGCGCCGAAAACGACACCGCATCATGGAGTTTACGAGAGATGACCTGCTTCCGGTTTGCAGCTTTAGTGTAGGAATCAGGACTCCGAACAGAATAGAGCAATACTGGAACATTAGTGTACTCATCTTCGATATTCTCCAAAAGAGATGCAGCCACACCGGAATATCCTCCCGAGTCATCGACTATAAATTGGATTCCCTGCCATACAATTTCAGCAACAATGGAAGATATGACATGCAACTATACAAATATCTGATAAATGGCCATATAGCTTTAATAAACAATTGCAAAATGCTACAAGTTTACTTTAGGATGCGTTTGGTATTCAAACAAGATAGAACAAATAGAACAGAACAAGACAGAATAGATCAGATAAAATGACCAATTTGCCCCTAATGAGTTGTGCATATATTATATATTTTGATTAATTTATGTAACTTATTAAATTATAATAAAATGAAATTTTTTATAACAAAATATATCATTAGAAAGAAAGTTTTCTTCAAGACGATTAAAATGACACCAAAAAATAAAAAGGTTTATGTAGTTCTCAATTTTTAGTTTATACCTTTTCTATATCACTTTTTATTATTATTTGATAAATTACGTAAGCTAATCAAAATATAGAAACCATCTAAAAACAATATTTTGAGAACAGTAAAAAGAAAGTTTAAAGAGCATAAAATACATTTGATAAAATTTAAAGAATGAATAAAATGTAAAGGGGAAGGTGTATTTGATGTTTTAGAAGAGAATTAGGTTTTATTTTGAGGTTATATTGGTAAAATATAGGTATGTTCCACCTTGTTCCATAGGGCGGGGGTGGAACACGCCTGTTCCACTCTGATCCTGTTTGTTCCACATAAAAGTCCTGCCAAATGTGGAGTGGTGATCCCTATTATGTTATGTCCTGTCCAATGTACCAAACGCACCCTTAAAGAAAACACCTTCACATGCCATTAACAACTAACCTTAGCATCAAAGCAACTCAAGGATCTATTAATATTTAGGGCAAAATGCAACGAAGTTTGGTTTTGTTCCTATTTAGTGTAACGAAGAATTTTATTTCTTAATCAATGTAACAAAGTTTAAAATTTTCCTATTCTTACGAATTTGAATGGTAACTTGCCGATCATGTAACATTTGATGATGTGGATAGCCATTTACGAAAGGGTTACAACAAAGTGGGCGATAAATTGACATCCAGGTTATCAAATGTTACAAGTTCAGTAGGTTATTGGTCAAAGACGAAGTATCGTGTGAGAATAGGAGTTAAGGTGAGAAGTGTAAGAAGGGATTTGGACCCTTGATCACTTCTAATCTCAAACCAACCCATGAATTGTGCTTTAGAAGGGAATTGATCCGATGCTTCTCATTAGTGTTGATCTAGTGGAATTCTTTAATAGGATTGATCCAAGGGTGGAGATCCCTTCTTACCCTTCTCAACATAACTCTCATTTTCACCGGAACCCAACCCATCGATCAAAATGAGTACAAATTTTGAACCTTTGTTGATTAATTGAGAAAAAAAAATTCCTTGAACACTAAATAGGAACGAAGGCAAGCTTTGTTGTCTCATTTTTATCCATTTTTCCCAGATATTTAATGTTGAGAAAGCTCATTTGAAAGCTATGGAAATTGATATTCTTATGTGATAAGTGACTTTTACGAGTTCTAAGCGATGAATATGCTGCAAGTTAAGAAGATTTGCTCGAAGTTACATACCTGCACATGGTCACATTCTTCAACGAAAAAACGAAGTCTTTCATTGATTTCATCACCTTGTAGACCCTCGGATACTGTATCTCTTCCAATACGATAGTTGTTAAATTCTTGAGCACCCATCCATAACCCATTCAACTCGAATAAACTTTGTGGATGATAATGAACTTTTGAAAAATCTGTCCAAAATTGGACGCCATCCTCGAGTGATTTAACTACATCTGTATCCAATATCTCACTGTGAGATTCCACACTTGCTTTATCAATCCCGTTGGCATTATTAGCCCCTATCTCCTGCCCTTCATCGTACAACCTTTTCAAGAACAGATTCTTTTTATAAGGTTCAGATGACTGAGTGGAAACACCGCCAGTCCTGCACCGTTGCTATAGTTTTAGTACATGTGTAGCGTCCCAAGCCAAACATACAAGATATTGTCCACACCTGGACTCAAGGTTTTTAAACGCGTTGACAGAGGAGGTATCCAGTTCCTTATAAGGCAACATTTGTTCCCCTCCCCAACCGATGTGGGATCTTACAATCCACCCCCTTAGGAGCCCAACGTCCACGCTGGCACACCGGTCCGATTCCTGGTTCTGATACCATTTGTGGCATCCCAAGCCAACTGTACCAGATATTGTCTGCTTCGTCCATACCTGGACTCACGGTTTTAAAAAGCGTCTAATAGAGGAGGTATCAAGTCCCTTATAAGGTAACATTCGTTTCCCTTCCCAACCGATGTGGGATCTTACATTATGTCGCGTTATAAGGGGCTAGATACCTCCTCTATCAGACTCGTTTTAGAACCGTGAGTCCAAGTGTGTGGACAAAGAGGACAATATCTGGTTTGGTTAGCCTGGGATGTTACAATATGTATCGAATCCATTGGTGATAACATACTGGTTTACAAACCAGACCCGTAAGATTACAGTATAACGGTTTATAATTCAAATGTCTCACCATGTGGTAACACCAGATGACAAAGATGAATTCTGGTTGTACAATGTACCATGTGAACTCATGGAACCTAGAGATCCTGCAAATAGAAGTTCTCACTGTAACATAAAAAACCATATTTACATATGCAATATAGGATTCTTAGGGGCTGTTTGGTTGGTTTTCTGTTAAGTCCTGCATGGATAAAGTTGCTTGTGCAGAGTAATCTATCTGTATAGATTGGGAAGGTTTTTGTTTGGGAAGGTATTTTCATAGATGGAAGAAGCTTGTTTTTTAATTGGGAGGGACAGGTTCAGAAAATACTTGGATTTCTGCATAAAGCTCCCCTAGAAGCTTACTAAATAAGCCACTTTCAATATCTTTAAGCCACTAAAACAATCATGTATAGCTGATCTAATAAGTTGTGAGTCCATTAAGCTCATTAAGCTGCTAACAAACATGCCATTAGGCCAAGAAGCAAGTAGAAACGTTATCAACGTGACTACAATAGTAGCAAATAAGAAAAGGACATAGCTGCAATATTTAGATTATTTTAGAAATTCTGGGATATTGCAAGATAACCAACCGTTGTTTCTATTCGCTATAAAATCTGGTAATTACCTTGAAAATCAACCGAAATCAACCGAGGCGTGTAAGTAGGCATTCCCTGCGTGTTAATGAATCATCAATGATACAAGTACACGTTACGTGAACCTTCACAAGATAAAAACTAAGGTGCTGTTTGGTTGGTTTTTCATTAAGCCTTGTATGGATAAAGTTGTCTATGTGAATTAACTTGTTTGTATAGAATGTGAAGTTTTTTGTTTTGCAGGGTTTTTATAGATAGAAGAAACGTGTTTTTTTATTGGGAGGGGCAGCTTTGGAAAAAACTTGGCTTTCTGCATAACGCTTCTCCCTGAAAGCTTACTGAATAAGCCACTGCTAAACAGTCATGTATAGCTGACAGAATAAGTTGCGAGTCTCATTAAGCTCGTTAAGCTGATAACAAACATGCCCTAAATCATTTTCGAAATAACAATCGCAAAATTCACTCGGTAGGTCAAGTTCATAACCAATTTACAAATTGCAGTCATGCATCAAGTTATCAGGACCTCTAATATTTAATTCAAGCATAACTATTTTCAAGCTCTAGTAAAGCGCTATGCCATGGTACCTGATGATTCTCCCCGGTGCGGTAGAGTACATCCATATCAATGTTTTGATTCTTAAAAACTAAGTCAGCCTCCGCGTCTTCAACCAACCCCAGCAATTCATCCTTCACATGGCGACCACCATAATGATATAAGAAGCGCCAAATAAGTCGATGATCAAAAAGTTATGTAAGCTATTAAAAATTAGTTTGGTCCTGTCCTAAAATTCATGAATCATAAACCATTACTCAAAACTCAAAAGTAATAAAAGCTTTTAAGCATAACAACACAAGAAATAGAACATAAGCTTTTTAAAATCAAAATTCTTTTCTAACCAAAAATTTGTATGCTAAAGAAACATGGTGGATGATGAAATTATGATTCGTATTCACTCATGCGTCAACAGTTCCGGTAACTCTCTTGGGGGCTGTTTGGTTGGTTTTTCTTTTAAGTCCTATATGTATAAAGTTGTCTGTGTGGAACTGGATTAAACTGTCTGTATAGATTAGAAAGGTTTTTGTTTGGGAGAATTTTTTCATAAATAGAAGGAACGTGTATCAAATTTGGAGGGGCACGTTTGGTAAAACTTGACTTTCTGCACAAAGCTCCCCATTAGAAGCTTACTGAATAAGCCACTTTCTATATCATTAAGCCACTACCAAACAGTCATGTATGGCTGACCGAATGAGTTGTGAGTCCCGTTAAACTCATTAAGCTGCCAACAAACAGACCCTTACTCTCTTTGTGTGTACGCTTTCAACCACTTGGCATAGATGATGCAAAAACTCCGCAAAACGTTATGCGGGAAGAGGAATCCTTGCAAGGATGATGCATGTACCAACATCCTCAAAAGTCACTTGTGTAAATCTTTCACAAGCAATTTTGAACGATCAACTGACAAATTAGTATACTTGACCTAATAAACTCTTCTAAAAATAAAAGAAGTAATCATATAAAATTTCACCGACATAAACAAAAAGTAACTTCTTAACGTAAAGATTTGATTAATAGCACTAATGGGCCTAATGGTATTTCTTTTCTTGTTTTGGGGGGTGGGTTCTTCAGTGGACTCATATAGGAGTGTTTGTTTACAGCTTAATTATTAAGCTCTCAGCTGTTTTGTCTTTTGTACCTCCAATGGATCGATGAAGATGTTCCATGTATACCTACATGCATCAACAAACATATCGCGAATAAAGATGTATATTTACCTGGAAGTTCCAAAAGTGAGAACCGATGAAATTAGCATAACTCCCAACTTGAAAAGTCACGAGCTCTTTCATATTTTTCACCTGTCAAACACACACACATACACCACCCAAGCACAAATTAAGCAAGTGAAACACTAGGAAAATGAATTTTGAGTAGTTCAAGCAGTAAAGAGTGACAGAAAAGTGAAACTTCAGCAATTACCTCAGAGTTAATTCTCGAGAAGACCAAAATTTAAGTATGGTATTGGTGAGAAGTTGTAGAAGTTATGATGTGAGCTGCGAGTAGGAACAATGGGAAAAGAGGTTGGAAACATGCAACAAGAAGAATCTAAGGTGTTGAAAAATGTAAAATTTTGTATGCAACGATTAAGAGGCTCTATACGATTTAGTGCATAATGTAAAATGGTTGTCAGGTAAATGTTCTGAATGAACGGTATGAATGACAAAAGATACCATTTTAACTCTCAGTATGATTTAGGGCCAAACGAAACATGATTGTTTGATAAGTGTTTGAATTACCTTGCATATATATATATATATATATATATATATATATATGTATGTGTATATATATCATTTTGCAAATAAGAATCACCATATATGACATTGCAAATATAAATTAAAAACACAACATTATTTGTTCAAAACAACACATCATATCATATCAATCCAAACAAACATAAGATTAGTTGCTCAAGTTCTACATCAAACAAAAACATAGATTCTATAGAAAAATGAAGTGATCTTTATATTATAGGTAGCCTTCTCCCTTCTGTCCTTATGTTGTAGTAAGGTAGCTCCATGGTTTTCCTAGTGCACTATCGTCGAGAAAAAGCTCCCCTCTCCATAGTTCTATCGCATCGATACTGTCTTTGATTCTATCCTCTTGGGCATTCCCCTTTCTATCAAATTCAACATAATAGTTTCCATACAATTCATAATTTTAAGCATTTAATGATCACATAAATTAGCCATGCATTCTTCCTCACATCCCTCGAGTTCTTGTTCTTCAGCAATAAACATGCTTGTGCTACTAATGAGATGCATAGATAAAGGTGTGCATATGTCTTCACGTAATTGTAGATTCTACAAGAATTTCTTGTTTGTTATCTTTGCAACCAATACCACTAGCTATTAATCTTCTACACTGCTATCTAGTGTTCCATCCTCTATGCATCAAGGCCATATCCCGTGCATCCCATGTTTGAATCATACAAGTCAGACATGCAATTTGATCACTTTACTTCCATATCCCAATTCTAACCAATGTTTTATTACCAAAAATATGACTACATATTAGAGTATCCATCAACTCTATCATACATCTTAATCATCAAATAATGGGTTCTAAGATTTGTACCTTACAAGTAGCTAATCCTTAGAGGACAAACTCCTATGCACTAATCCTTCTTAAACACCTCAATTCACATAGTGGTCCACTTAGGTTGTTTTCTAACTTCAAAATGTATTGGATGATAACATCCGGATACCACCAAGTCTAGGTGTTAAATGAAGGGTATAAATGGTGGCTACTTGGTTAAGGATGCTACATTGCAGGAAATCAATTACCACACTTATACTTATGATGTAATGACATTTAATTAGTACACAACAATAGTACTATTAAAATTTACAACACCACACTCTAACTGAACATATAAGCTTTCAACATTACAGAGGACAACAAGCTTATTATGTGGCCGTTTAACAACACAAGATATTGATGGTAAAACAGTATATTTTCGCGTAAACTTGTATATACAAGCCACTCTTTTAACAATAACTTGAAATCAAAGTTAAAAGTAGATCAATTTAACAATAAATGCTATTGATGATTTAAGCCAACAGAAGAGCCAAAGTATTTGCAAAGCGAAATTAACAATAGGTAACATAAGTTGATCAGTTTTGAAATTTAAAAACAAATCAGCACCAAAATCTCTCATTGGGAACTTTTATCAAACATTTGGTGTTCATCATAAAACAAAGACATAATACACCAGAAATCGAACACAACAGTAGTGAAATCGAAGAAATTTAACACAATAAGTCGAACAAATTTAGCATAAGTAGCCGAATTTTGAAATCTACAACAAACAAAAACAATTATGAAAGGGAGGATTCTGGACCTCGTCGCTAAGTTCTGCAGGAGAGCTTTGTTCGATAACCAGCTGCCGCCACTTGCTTGACTGATAGTTTGTAAAATGGTTATCGAAGAACTATTGATACGAAAAAATCTAGCAGAGGGTAATCAGGCGCTGAACGATTATCGTGTCTGACCGAATCAGTGGTCAGCCCAAGCGATTCAGATTACAAACTGCGGTCTTCAGGCCAAGTTGGGCTATTTGGGCCGGGCCGAAGACCAAGCCCACCGATTTACGTACATCAAGATCCGGTCATCGACCATGTCCCTATGGTTCGTTAAAAATTTCGGTTCTCGTCTCTGTGATTTTGAAATTATGGCTTTGTAATTGTCCATGCGTATATCTTGTCATTAATAAAAGAATCTCCGTTATTATGAACATTAATATACACATGGGCATTTCTCCCCTTCTATATGAACATGGGTTCACTTATGAACAATGTGATTATGTCAAATATTCCAAGTGTGTTTCGATGTTAATATATGTTTATTTGTATTATGTGCATT